CTCTTTACAGTCACTGACTCCGTGATCATTGAATCAGATGTGTATCCTTCCAGCTGTAATTTGCCGTTTTTAACAAACCAACGTTTCTAACTCATATTGATATACTATTTATAACCCAAACAGCAAAGTAAGCCCTAATGTTATGTAGTAACAGGGAGACAACAAAAGTAGTATGTCTTCTTATCATAATCCATATTTTATATTACACCCGAATATAAAATACATGTTAGTATTTAATAGACTTCTGTTGAGTGTCGTTACATTTGATAAGAACAGTCACAGCACTTACTGAGCAGTTGCTGTGCACTAGGCATTCTTCTGAATGCTTTACATGAATTAACACGTGTAATCTTCACGTGGAGTTGTAACAAGCTCCACATTATATACCGGGAATCACATAGTGTGTGATCTGCGGTTGGCTTTTTATGTGCTGTGTGAGTTCCTTGAGCTCCCTGCAGTTTGTTGCATGTGTTATTACTAGTTTTTTGCATTATTATTACTGGGTAGTATTCTGTGGTATAGGCATACCACAGACAGTTTATCCATTCACCTGTTGAATGACATTGGAACTGTACGAACTGTACATTTGTGTACAGTCTTTTTGAGAACATGAGTCTGCATTTCTCTGGGAGTACTCAAGAGTACAATTGCTTGGTCATAGGGTAAATGTGTGTCTAATCTTGTAAGAAACTGCCTTACTCTTTTTCCATAAGAACTGAACCACTTTACATTTCTACCAGCAATGGTATGAGAGATGTAGTTTCTCAACATGCTTACCAGCATTTGGTATTATTACTATATTTTATTTTAGACATTTTGGTAGATATGTAGTCATGTTGTATTGTGGTTTTAATTTGCATTTCCCTAATGACTAATGACATGTCAAACATCTTTTTATGTGCTTATTTGCCATCTGTATATCCTCTTTGGTGAAATGTCTATTGGTATCTTTTGCTTATTTTCTGATTGAATTCTTTGTGTTTTTTACTGTTGGACTTTTAGAGTTCTTACTTATTCTGCATATAAGAACTTTGTTGGATATGTAGTCTTGCAGATAGTCTCTTTCAGTCTTGTCTTTTCACCTTCAGAACAAAAGTTGTGTTTTGTTCATAAAGATCCAGTTTATCAATATTTCCTTTTATGGATCTTGCTTTTGGTATTAAGTTCTAGATTAGTTCCGAATTTAGTCCTCAAGTGACTTTGCCTTTTTTGCTTTGCTGTATAAAAGCTGAATGTCATGATTCTGGACCTTTTAATAACCAGACAAGTGAACTTAGAGAAAATAGATTAAACAGAAATTAAACGAGTTCGCTAAATTGGGACAGTATTAAGTTAAAATACTCATACAGTGCTCTAAGACTTGATCGTGGCGGTGGTGGTGTGGTGGTAGTGGTGTGTGTTTCAGTGTACGTTTAGATGGGTGTGTGTACCACCGTCGCTCAGTCGTGTACCGTGAGGGCGTCCCTGATAGCTCAGTTAGTAAAGAATCCGCCTGCAATGCAGGAGATCCTGGTTTGATTCCTGGGTCGAGAAGATCCCCTGGAGAAGGGATAGGCTACCCACTCCAGTATTCTTGGGTTTCCCTTGTGGCTCAGCATGATTGTACTGTGTACATATTTTATTAGCTTGAAAACTGTGCAGTGTAGTTATTACCTCCATTTATACTCATGCATGTTTTCAAATTTGATTCACTAAAATTTTATAAATTTAACTTAAAATTTTTTTACAAATTTGATTCTTGCTGCTTCTGTTCAGTTTTATCTTCCAGGTAAATCAGCAGCATAACTTTTGCATGTAAGGGAAATTATTACAGTGGTGCAAGTGCCTGAGTAGAGAAAGGGTGAGGCACAGCCAGCCAATAGCACTCCAGGTTTATATTCCATTTGATGTTTTAAGAAAGGACTAACGTACTAGCTGAAAAACGAACAGGGGCAGTTTCAAAGATGACTTTACCAAGTCATTTCTCATGAGAAAGTTATTCTGTTTCTTGGAAGTCCCTAAAATAGTTTGCAGATTTACAGATATATGGCTAGATTAAGTGTTGTGGTGTAGTTCTATTATAGTGGCTTTCTTATCTATCAGACAAGGATTCAGATTACCATGGATATTGTTAGCATTGTCTGGTTTCATGTATACTAAATCATAGTTTAAAAAGTTCTTGTTCATGGAGTTTTTGTATTTTAAAAATATTGCTGTGTTCAAAATGAAGATAGCTTTTAAATATATTGTAGCATAATTTAGTCTTCTCTGCTGAAATCCGATTTAGGTTTAATGAAATCTTTAAGAAATTTGCATGAATTTACCCTACATTCCCATTGCCCTTCAGAACCTCTGTACAGTATTTGAATTTCTGTCTGTGGCCAGCTTCTGTTTTCAAGATAAATAGCTCTCAAAGTTGAGTGTTTTTTAAGGATGAGAATATAAGCATTTAAAGGCACTTGGACAAAATTTAAACAAAAAATATCTGTTAGATTTTTTGTTTGGGGTATTTTAGGTCTTTGCCTTTTAATAAGGTTTTTTTGTTACATGATGAAACAGAAATTTACTTTGATGAAAGTTTTCTTCGTTACCAGTCTATAGGATTTACTTGAAGTATATGTTAATAGTTCTGGAACTTCACCCTTCCCCCCAAGTAAATAATAATATAAAGACTGTTGAAGTTATACCTTTATTATAACTGCTCCATTTTGGGAAAGAGTTGAAAAAAAAAAGAAGTACAGAGAAATTGCAGGCCATTTTTTCTAGGAATGTGAGTAGAGAAGAATTGCTGGTTTTTTAATACGTATTTAAGACTACTTGGCCTTTACTGTTTAGCATATTGTTTTCAAATTCTATAATGTGTATTAGTATAGCTAAGCCACCTCATAATTCTGTCACTTAATAAGGGGCAAGTGAATCTTGAAAAGATTTGACTTTGCTGAAAACATTAGTATTATCAGACCAGAGTTTGGATGATGCATTTTAACAGTTTTTGTATTGGAGGTACAGTCCTGCCCCTCCTTTTCTCCTGACCAAGTCCCAGTTGTCATCGCATAGGCTTGCGTCATTCAGACAGCCTCTCACCGGCCATCCTGCTGTTACCTCTTCACGAAGTCATTGTACACAATGCTGCTTTCCATTAGCCTTCAGAAAAAAGCCTCTTTCATCACGTCACTTCCTTTGCTAAAAAGTCTTAAAAGCCTCTTCATTGCCTGGAAGATGGAAAGCCCTAAGTGGGTGATGGCTATTTTAAATGATTACTGCTGTCCCCTATTCATTTCTTTCTTCTCTGAACTCCTCAAACCTGTATCGTCTTCACATAGTGAATCCTTGATTGTTCATAATATTCTTCTGTTATTTTCATGTGTATAGTTAAGTGAATCAGTTGTACATACACATAAATCCACTTTTTTTTGGATTTTTTTCCTATATAGGCCATTATTGTGTATTGAGTAGAGTTCCCTGTTCAGTTATACTTCTAAAAAATGAAGGGTTTAATTAGTGAAGTGAATTGCATTATATTTAATGCATATTTATTAAATTTTAGTTTTTCTCATGCTTTCCATATCCATTCAACTGTATTATTTTAATACTATTTTAATATTTATTATGTATTCACTGAACACACAGTATAAAGCCAGGAGAAGTAGTCACATACTTGCACCACATTTAGCTTTTCTTTCATTTTAGTTCATGTCTATACTTAAAATCAGGTTTTCTTCTTCTTCTTCTTCTTTTTTTTTTTTTAAACCAAATCTGGTAAAAGTTATCTTGAAGAAGTTGAGGTGTGCCTCTGTGATTTTAAAATAAACAAGCCAAAAAAAAAAAAAAAGATTACCTTTAATAATGGCTAGGTATTTGAAATCATTTTCTTATAAGGTATTACTCTGTTCCTGTAGATTTCATGATTCTTCATTCCAAGAAGCTTAAAACAAAAACTTAGCATCTTAAAATGAAAAAACAGTTAAGAGTTGTGGTGGGTGTTATTCTCTTTATCATTTATTCAGTACTTAGCACAGGTCTCCCGTTATTCCTAGAACAAACTTCAGAGATGCGGAATGTCCCAAATTTCCAAAGAAACTGGGTGCGAGATCATAGAACTCATAACGACAGTGCTGTTACTCATAGATTGGCTGATTCCAGAGCCTCTGCACTCTGTCACGGGAAGGCTTCCGTCATCATTGCTGTGCTTCTAGAGAGGGAATTTGAGAAAATTAAACCTTAATTTTTTGAAGGAGTAAGATGTTGAAATTGTTAGCAGTCAATTATGACAGTGCTAATAATAACAATTGTCAGAGGAAATGTACCTATTATTTTGAAATTTTTGAACCTATAGAAAAGTTTTAAAATAGTAAAACAACTAAGACCATCTAAGACCCTTCACCTGAATTCACCAGTAATTAACTTTTTTTCACATTTGTTGTCTCTTTTTCTATACATATGCTCTCTCTCCCCTCCCCTAACCATTTGATTGTAGGTTTCAGACATCATGGTACCTAATTCCTGAACATCTGATCATGAATTTCTTAACAATAAGGATATTGTCCTTATAAACATTATCACACCTAAGAAATGTATCATTAATCTAATATTATCTAATGTTCATCTGGTATTTCTCCAGTTATTTCAAAAATGTCTTTTATAATTGATCTTTTTAAATTCCTTTCTCCAATCCAGTATTCAGTCAGAGTTTATGTTTTGTATTTAGTTGTGATATCTTGTCGGTCCCTTTTAATCTTTTTTTTTTTTGCTGCCTCTGACTTTTTTTTAAGTGTCCAGGTCAGCTGTGTTTAAAGTGCTGCATATTCTGAATTTGCCTTATTGCCTCCTGTGGTTAGATTTACTTAGGTTTTTGTTAAGCATTTTTAGCCATAATACCACATGTGTGATATATGCTTCTGATTACACTGTATCTGTATCAGAAGGCATCTCATGCCACCTTTAAATTTCTAATGTATTAATTCATAGCTTGTAGCAATATAGACATAACTGTTTGGACCCTTTTTTGATTTCTCAAATAGACAACAACTGAACGGCCTTTCATTCAGAAGCTTTTTCGACCTGTGTCTACAGATGGACAATTGCATACACTAGGAGATCTCCTCAAAGAAGTCTGTCCTTCTGCAGTTGCTCCTGAAGGTAATATAATTGACAACATTAAAACATGTCTTTCATTCCTCTTCATTACCGAAGTAACATAAGAATTCTGTATTTATAAATAACATGTATTAGTTACTTCAGTAAGATATTTTCATTATCTTATAAGGAAAAATTTTTTGAAACAGAAGCACTTAATACTTAACTATTTCATAAGTTACTGACACTAACAGAATAAGAAACTCATTCTCTTTAGCAAACTGAAATATGGTTTTAAAGCCACTCTCTTATATTTTGGGGCCCCGGGTTTTTCATTTGTGAATTCAGTTCTGGTAAGTGTTGTATTTTTAATCTTGCATTGTGTTTCATCATTCTAAAGAAATGAGAGATAGTTTTTTTTAAAAAAAAATCTTAGGTTTGGTTGATATTTTAAAGTTCAAAATACTGAGTAATGGATACATATTTTATTTGAAGTTTTTGCTACTCTTTAATGTTTTACTGAACATTATTCTCTTAGGATTTAACATTTCACAAGGCTAGTCAAAAACTTATCCTGGTTTATAGTCCTTATTTTGTAACTTATGTTAAAATTGTTTTCCTGTAAGCAGAGGAAAAATAGAAAAATCGCTTAATTGCAGCATAAGAAACACAAGGAAAATGCGGAAAACTAGGGGAAAAATGCTGTAAACCCCTAACTCATAGAGACTACTATTGACACACACATACAGATATATACTTGAATATTTGAGAGGGTGTATGTGAGTAAATTTATACGTCCTCCTTTTTTCACCTGATACAATATGATAGTTCTTAAAAATTCTTTAAAGCCATTTTTTAAAATGCCATGGCCCTTGGTATCTATGTACCATAATTTGACCATCACTCTATCACTGAATGACTTGTCTTATTGTTGGTTACTATACTGTAGGAGAAATTTCAGTGGCATATTGCTGTGTTTGTTAATATGTTGACTAGACTTGTGTATGTTATATAGAAAAACATTAAAAACTTACCACTTTAAATCTTTTATGGTAAGAGGTTAGGCACTAATAAATGCAAAGGTAAATACTTCAGTAGATCATGCTGTGTTTCTTATTAACATATCCTATGTTGGGATGATGACAGTATTATTTACATGACTTGTAACTATATCACATAGTTCAAGAAGCCTTTAGTATCTGTGGAAATGGTTTGCCTACTCAGTAGAATTAGAAGTAATAGGATTGGGAGGAATATTCACATTCCAGTCTAAAAGACTAAACAAAGAATATGGAGCTCAGAAAATGTGCCGTTTGGCCTGTTAATCAAATATGCTTCCTTTCCCTGGCATTTCTATGTGTATCTAGCACTTTGAAAATACACAAAGGCTCAATAGGAGGGAAGAAGAGGGACATCTAAATACCACCAGAACCAGTTCCAGAAGGGACTGATAAAAAAGATCATTGACTACTACCCAGAGCTGTGAAAATTGAGTAAATTTCTCTGGCGATCCAGTGGTTAAGACTGCACTTCCACTGCAGGGGACATGCTTTCAGTCCCTGGTCAAGGAACTAAGGTCTTACAAGCCATGTGGTGCAACCAAAAAGCAACATGTTTCATATATATATATACACACACATATATATGTATGTATGTATGAAATGTATATGTATATTTATAAATATATATCTAATATATATATATAGAGAGAGAGAGTTTATAAGGCCTTACTAATGTCGATTGTCAGCTTCCCTGGTAGCTCAGCTGGTAAAGAATCCGCCTGTAATGCAGGAGACCCCGGTTCGATTCCTGGGTCAGGAAGATGGTCTGGAGAAGGGATAGGCTACCCGCTCCAGTATTCTTGGGCTTCCCTTGTGGCTCAGCTGGTAAAGAATCTGCCTGTAATGCAGGAGACCCTGGTTCGATTCCTGGGTCGGGAAGATGGTCTGGAGAAGGGACAGCATCTCCCACTCCACGTCTTGGGCTTCCCTGATGGCTTAGATGGTAAAGAATCTGCCTGCAGTGGGGGTGACCTGGGTTTGATCCCTGGGTGGGGAAGATCCCCTGGAGGAGGGCATGGCACCCCACCCCAGTATTCTTGCCTGGAGAATCCCCATGGACAGAGGAGCCTGGCGGGCTGCAGTAGATGGGGTCACAAAGAGTCAGACACGACTGAGGGACTAAGCACAGCAGTACTGTCCTAGCCGAGTTTCTGTTACTGTCATACACATCCTCATGTCTCTAATGCTAGGTCAGTGTTTCCTCAGTATTTCAATTCCTGAGTTCTTTGTGTCATTACTTGAAACATTATTTATGGTCTTTGAATCATGACATAATTAACAGTAAGTTGATTTTAATACTATCTTAGAATCTTAATCTATCTTTATTGCTACCTAGTTTTCATTTTCAGTAAGAGTTTGCATTAAATAATTGTTCTGCCATGCAGTGATTTTTATTTAATTTATAAGCCATCACTACAATCTAGTTTTAGAATACTTCTACCATCTCAAAAGTTTCCGTGTGTGTTTGTAGCTAATTTCTGCTCCTGCTGCCAATTATAGACAACTATTGATCAGCTTTCTGTCTAGAATTTACCTCCTGTGGATATTTCACATAAAGGGAGTTACACAAAATTGCAATTGTTTTTCTCTTTTACTTGATGTTTTTGGGTTTCATTCATATCCTATAAATTAGTAGTTTGTTCCTTTTTATTACTGAATAGTGTTCCAGTTGGGTGACACATTTTGTTTATTCACCAATTGATAGATGTTTGAGTTTCCGCCTTTTCACTTTTATGAATAATGCTGCTCTAAACATCCTTATACTGGCATATATTTTCATTTTTCTTAAGTAGATCCCTAGGAGTGGAATGGCTGGGTTGTATGGTAGATTTATGGCTAATTTTTAAAAGAAACTGCTAAGCTTTTCCAAAGTGGCTGTGTCATTTTACAGTTCTACCCACAGTGAATGGAGATTCTAGTTTCTTCATATTCTCACCATTGTATATATTTTTTTGTCTTATTATAGCCATTCTAGTGTTTGTGTATAGTGGTAGCTCATGTTTTTTAAAATTTCCCTAGTAACTAATGATGTTGAGTATTTTCATGTGCTTTTTGTTATTCATGGATATATTTGATGAAATGTCTCGTGTAAATCCTTTTCTTATTTTTCGTTGTATCTTATTACTGACTTCTGAGAGTTATTTATATATTCTGCCTGTTAAGTCCTTTACCAGACATGATATGTGATTGTTTTCTCCTAGTCTGGGAATTATCTTTTCTTTTGAAGAGTAAAAAATATTTTATTTTGATGAAACCCTATTGAGGTTTTTTACATATTGTGTTCAGTTAAATAATCAAAGTTTTTTTCTAGTAGATGATGCATTTATATAGTTCCAAAATCCAAAATTTTATCAAAGAATTTAGTGAAAAGTCTATATCTCAGCTCCTATACAGAAAACCCTGACTCAGTTCCCCTCTCCAGACACAACCAGTGTTGCCATCTCCCAGTAAATCCTCACAGGGATAGTGAAAGTTTTTATTTTTGAACTCAAGTTGTAGAAGTTTGGACTGGGATAGTCCCAGTAACTTTAGGAATAATATTACGATTGCAGTTCGTTTTCTCCATACTGTAAAAGTGTGTGTGTGTGTGTGTGTGTGTGTGTTTTAATCTGTTTAATGTCTGTTTTGCCAAATTCTTAAAGATTTGGGCATATAGATTAGTTTTCCCATTTGAAGTTAAGAGATTAATCATTTTTATTGCTGACAGAGATGGGATCCATAGGCTGCCCCCACTGCAAGCATTTGCCTTCAGTTATTCACTTCTCTGCACTATATTTTTCTCTTTTTGAGTACTTTATAGTATTTTAATTTAAAAAATGCTTTTATCAATTAAGAGTAAATTGAAATCACACCAGTCAGAATGGCCATCCCTCAAAAGTCTACAAACAATAAATGCTGGATAGGGTGTAGAGAAAAGGGAACCCTTTTGCACTGTTGGTGGGAATGTAAATTCATATATCCACTGTGGAAGACAGTATGGAAATTCCTTTAAAAACTAGGAATAAAACCACCAGATGACCCAGCAATCCCACTACTAGGCATATGCCCTGAAGAAAATCGAAAAAGACACATGTACCCCAGTGTTCATTGCAGCCCTATTTATGATAGCTAGAACATGGAAGCAACCTAGATGGCCATCAATGGATGAGTGGATAGACAAGCTGTGGTACATATATACAATGGAATATTACTCAGCCATAAAAAGGAATGCATTTGAGTCAGTTCTGATGTGGTGGATGAACCTAGAGCCTATTATACAGAGTGAAGTAAGCCAGAAAGAGAAAAACAAATATTGTATACTATCCATATATATGGAATTTAAAGGTGGTACTGATGAAATTATTTGCAGGACAGCAGTGGAGACACAGAGAACAGACTTATAGCCACAGGGGTGGGGGAGGAAGGAGAAGGTGGGATATATGGAGAAAGTAACATGCAGACTTATATTCAGTTCAGTTCAGTTCAGTTCAGTCGCTCAGTCATGTCCCACTCTTTGCGACCCCATGAACTGCAGCACTCCAGGCCTCCCTGTCCATCACCAACTCCCAGAGTCCACTCAAACCCATTTCCATTGAGTTGGTGATGCCATCCAGCCGTCTCATCCTCTGTCATCCCCTTCTCCTCCTGCCCTCAATCTTTCCCAACATCAGGGTCTTTTCCAGTAAGTCAGCTCTTTGCATCAGGTGGCCAAAGTATTGGAGTTTCAGCTTCAACATCTGTCCTTCCAATGAACACCCAGGACTGATCTCCTTTAGGATGGACTGGTTGGATCTCCTTGCAGTCCAAGGGACTCTCAGGAGTCTTCTCCAACACCACAGTTCAAAAGCATTAATTCTTCTGTGCTCAGCTTTCTTTATAGCCCAACTCTCACATCCATACATGACCACTGGAAAAACCATAGCCTTGACTAGACAGACCTTTGTTGGCAAAGTAATGTCTCTGTTTTTTAATATGCTATCTAGGTTAGTCATAACTTTCTTTCCAAGGAGTAAGCGTCTTTTG